TTGATAAAATTATTTAGTCGTTCACACGAAATCGTTTACTAAAAAAAACTTGAAAGCGCTAAAACTCAAAAGAGCAAAACATTATATTAAATAGCGAAAAGAATTATTTTAAAAAAAATCTTTAATCAATTTGTAATCATTGCGAAAATAATATTTGAGAGTAATTTATTCTTTAATTGTGGAGCATTACTGTATTGATTACATGAAATTTTTAGCTACCCTGATCAGTGATGTAATTGGTTTCGTCCGATATTTGTATTCAATGGGAAGTGGGAAGAAATTATTAAACTCATAATTCCGTAATATAAACATTTAAAAAATTTTAATTATATATTTAAGAAATAACATAGATACGTCACGTATACAGGTTGTAGTTAAGGATTGAAATCATTTTAAACTATTTTAACTTATAAATACGATTCATACTGTAGTTTAGGCAGAATGGTGTTGATTGTTAAGCCAGTTGGTTAAATAACTAGACACCGTTAAACATTACTTGTTAAAAACATTTTTAGCCAATTTCAAACCATCTAATTAAATTAAAAAATTTTAGATTAAATTAACTAGACGAGCCAAGTTCAATTAATAATTATAATAGTAGGTAGTTTGATAATAACACGAATTTTATAACTTGATAATGTTTTTTTTAAATTGAAGGTTGGCTAGTTTTAAATAAAATAAACCGTTAAAGTATATAAACAAAACGGTTGTTTTAGATTTTGCAAAGTTTTTTTATATAGCTCCCGGCCTCACTTCGTTTGGCTTATTTCCAAATCGAGTTCTATTTTTTTTTTTTACATCATAATCGTCATTGACAAATTCTTTTATTTAGTGCTTGGATCCAGTTTACAAAATCCGGATGCATCCGGATATAAAAAGGATAACGGATATTATTTTTGAAAAGCAGATAATAAATCCGGATTTTTATTTTAGATTTATAAATCCGATTTTTTATCCAGATATTATGTCAATCGATATCAGCCAATCGGAGAACGTCAACGTAACTTTGATCATGATCCTTGTTTCTCTTTTTTAAATAATTTCATATATTATTTTGCATATAATAAATGAACAAATTAATGTTATAGTCACGGTAAAGCTGTCAAGCTTTTCCATAGTTTCTATTGCAGCTTTATTTAAGATATATATAACCAAATTATTTGAAGTTCGCATCCTGTAGTTTAAATATGTGGTTTACCTCAGAATTGAAATCCGTCCGATTCAGAATTCCAGTTGTCATAATTCAGAATAGAGTTATCTGATTTTGGATTTCTTAAGTAGATTAAGAATATATAATTAATCAATATACTAATTCTAAGCTAATTTTATAATTCATAAGCCCGGGCAACCTGCTTGAGAATTCTAGAACCCGGATAATCTGCATTTGAATCGGTTTTACCACAAAATTCCGAAAGACAGATTCCCGAAAAGACTCAATATCGACAAAGTTAGCCAGCATTAGTTATAATGCTTTTAAATGGCTTTCGAAATTTTGTGGTAGAACCATTTGAATCATGTAGATTCTAATTCAGGGTATGATGTCTAATTTTAATCGATTATATTTGACCGAGAATTGGATAACTGAATTTTAGCTTATTTGTTACTGTAATTTATAAATTTATAAATTATGTTATAACCGGATAGAATCCGGATTAAAAACCGGATATTTTAATAATATCAGTTTACAAATCCGGATTAAGATAATTAAAACAGGATATCTATCCGGATATCTGGTTAGATATCCGGATCCAAGCACTACTTTTATTTAAAATTATCAATAAAATTTTGAACTACTCATCTAATGTGATAATTATTAAAACAAAAAGAAAAACATGACATCACGTAATGAAAATAATAGATGATCAAACAAATGAACTTATTAGTAATAGAAAATGCATAAAGAAAACTATTACGTGTAATTCAGAAAAAAATGCAATCTATGGATAATGAAAAAAAAAAAGGGTTTAAACAACCTAGTAAAAATTTGAAAAAAATACTACAAACTTTCGAAATTAACCGCTGAGTTAAAAGATGTAGACATATTGTCATCACTAGTTATGACCTTACTATGTAAAACACTCCAGTATGTAAAGTTACTGATGCTGGAACAGAATTTTTGCGAAGAATTTGTTTAAGGATATTCAGATCTTCCTCACTCATACTTTGACGACAAAGATTTAAGGTTGCTAAAGTAGTATTTCTACTTAATGCCTCTATTAATGTTTTTTCTCCTTCAAATCCAAATTTGTTATAAGAAAGGTGTAAATGAATGAGAGTAGTGTTTGTATAAAGAACTTCTTTTAATGCTTTTACCCCTCTAAAATCGATCAAATTTTCATCAAGATACAAATTAGTTAAGGTGACGTTTTTACAAAGTGCTTCTGATAATACTTCAACACCCTCGGATCCAAGATGATTATCATATATATTCAACCGAGTCAAAGTTTTGTTTACGCAAAGAACTTCTGCTAATGCTTTTGCTTCTTCAATACCAAGTTGATTAGAAGAAAGGTCTAAAGAAGTTAAAGTGGTATTTTTGTGAAGCGACCTGGATAATGCATCTATCCCTTCTGAATCAATATCATTACCGCGAAGATTTAAAGTAGTTAAGGTGATATTTTTACAAAGTGCCTCTGCTATTGCCATAGTACCCTCAGATCCAAGTATATTATAATCTAGACTTATATCAATCAAAGTAGTGTTTACGTAAAGTGCATCTGCAAGCGCTTTTCCACCTTCAAAATCTATACAATTACAACCAAGAAATAAAGTAGCCAAAGCATTGTTTTTACAAAGTGCTTTTGCCAACGCTTTTAACCCTCTAGAATCAATATTGTTCTGGTCAATATATAATTCTGTTAAAGTGTTATTTTTATAAAGTGCTTCTGCCAATAATTCTGCACACTCGAAACCAAAGTAATTACAACTAATGTGTAAAGAAGTTAAAGTAGTGTTTATACATAATGCATCAACCAATGCTTTTACCCCGTTGAAGCCAAGTGAACTTATAGGAAGCGCCAAAGATGTCAGAGTAGTATTTGTGTGAAGAGCTTTCATTAATGCATTTATTCCTTTAAAATCAAATGGATTACGCCCAAGATCTAAAGTAGTTAAAACTAAGTTTTTACAAAGTGCTTTAGCTAATATTTCCAAACACTTTGAATCTAAACAATTATCGAAAAGATTTAAAGTTGTAATAGTAGTGTTCATACAAAGTGCCTTAATTATTGTTTCGCCTTCAACTGAATCAATTTGATTTTGAGAAAGATCTAAAGAAGTTATAGAAGTGTTCTTGCGAAGAGCCTCTGCTATTGCATTCCATCCCTCTAAATTAATTTCATTACTTATTACTCTCATTATCCATGATTCTTAAAGAAGTTATAAAATTTTTATGAAGAATCTCTACTAATATTTCTGTTGCCTCCGAATTAAATTTTTCAGTTCCAAGCTTTAGAGAAGTAATAGTGGTGCTCTCATAAAGATTACTAAATATCTTTTTATCATAAATAGTACCATAAAAATGAAAGGTTTTAAGTTTTTTACTTGTTCGTAAAAACATTGCGATTAGAGAAACACCACAGCCATCACGGGTAGATTATAATCATCATCATCATCATCATCTCTGATAGAATTTGAATCTTGAGATCCATCACACGCGAATCCTTCGTTTCTGAGCCAGTTTTTAATTCCAAAGGTCATATTAGAGCTATTAACAGATGTAGCATAACTTGTATACTCAAATAATGGTTTTGGGAGTTTTGGAAGAATGATTTTAAAGGGTATTAATAGAGTTTGTTCTTTAGTATTTAATGTTGAAAGACATAATTTTAAAAGCCTTTTATCCTTAAAATTTTTCATTGGGTCGTTCCATAATATTGGTACTATAATTGTACACCATAAACGGTTTACAAGAAGGCATGAAAATAAACTTCTATAGTAAGTTTGAAGGTTTTTGAAGATTTCGTAGAGGCACTCGTTTGGTAGTTTGTTCATTTTTAAACGCGAAAGGTAAAAATGTAAACAATTGATGAAAAATTTACGTGATCGAATTTATTGCTGCGTATGGTAACACTAGACCTGTAGATTTGTTTTTTTAAGATGTTCTTGTTACACGTACTTTTGTTTACAATTAAAAAAATTCTTATGATGTACTTTAAAAAGCATGCTTTTATTATATCATTTTGGACTTCAGTTTAGAACCGATTATGACAATATAGATATATAATACAAGTTATTACATTAAATTTTTTAAAACGAAGCAATTAATAAAAGTCGATAGTTAAAGTTTCTAATCTCACGTGAGCAAAATATGCAAATGATTAATCAGTTTTACAAGAACCATTATTGGAATCCCTTATATCCAAATGTCCGAATGCCAATTTTGTTCACGATAGATAAAAATAATCAGTTGATCCTAACCGAATAACTATATTGTTGATGTAAATACGCTTTAGAATACTTTTTGGAAGATCAAGCTTATACTGATATTTTACCAACATAATTATCTTTTGTGCAGGAATTAATTCTTCACTTTATACAATTTAGTACTCTTGTCGGAAATAAATTTTAGGGCCTTCCTTTGCGTCACTCAATTTCACCATTTAATTTCTTCGTTATCAACGAGTATATTCTTACTGATTTGCGTGTTTTGATGTAGAAAATTCATGGCATTTTTTCACACATATATACATATTTCGTTTACTTTTTTTTTTTCTGATTCAAGTTTAAAAATAATATTAACTCCTGTGCTTAGCATTCAAGAACGTCATTTTTAATATAATGGCAAAATTTTCTTTTTACACAGCTTCACAAATTTATTTCCATTAAAAAATGTGCTTGCAATTATAGCTAATAATATATTACTAATGAAATTTCATTCTATATACGTATACGTTAATAATTCACAAAGAATGTTTGATGTAGTAATAACGAATAACAATTTCTAAGTTCTTTAAAAAAAAAACGATTCATTTTATCTGAAATAACTAAAAAAAAAAAAACTAAGCCGCAATTTTCCACTCGACATAGTGTTCTTTGAATGTATGAAATCCTACTTCATACAATAGATGTTTCACTCTTTCATCATCAAACGATAATGCTTTGTCTTGTTCATCTTTCTTCATACTACCATAAATTCTCTTAGGCACAATTTTATGAATCTTTCGACGATATAATCCAACTTTTTCTGTAATTGCATTCGCATTCATCTTTTCCATATATGCTTTAAATTGACGTGTATGATCATATAAAGCATTAACTTCAAGATCAGCCTTAGTCGTTAAAGTTAAAACTGTGTCAAGTTGATCCTGTAATGTCGAAGGTGGTTCACCAATATCTAATCTTTTCATGATAGTATTAATAGATCCTTTCATAGCTGATGATGGAATTGAAGGCAACCAATTCATGAATAAGGCAATCAACGTTGTATGAGGATTATTATTATTCAAAAGTGGATAAAGCTTTGTTAATACAGGTTCAATTCCACAATATGCTTCATCACAAATATTAGATACATAAATTCGATCAAATCGTTCCTTTTTAATCTTTTGACTAAGATTGAGTGCATCCTCATCATATAAATCAATTTTAATATTTAAATTTTGTAATCGATCAACAAATAATTCTAACTGATTACGGAGATAAAAGTAAAGTTTTCCATAAAGGTCATCTTTTGCAGTTCCATTCTCGACTTGAACAACTTTAAGCAAATCCCAACCAGAAAGTGGGTCCGAACAATCTGTCGTTGTCCAACCGTGTACAGGATCCAAGATAAATTTATTTGGTGTATCATGATGATTATTTGGAAAACCGAATGGAAGGAGAATTCCATTACGACGAAAATAATCATAACAAATTCTTTCTCCTGGTGTAAGTCCTTGCATATGTTGATGTAAATAATCTTTACGAGTTGGATCAAACATAATTTTATTACGCATATCAATAGCCGTTTTCAAATCAATTTGACCAAGAACCATCTCAATAAGACATTCCCAAGTTTGAGGTTTAAAATGAGTGCAAATTTTAAGTTTATCAAATTCGAATGTACAATCTTTTTTCACATGTGAATTAAATTTATCATGCAGTACACTGGCGAGTAAATCAGTAGTTCTAGACCATTGCTCATTTGTAAGAGCTGTGGAATACCAAATATGAATAACGGCATCGATGGCATCTTTACCGAGCTTTGCGAGGAGGTACAACATTAGAAAATTTCGAATTGTAACTCTTTTAGCAAAATCGTTAATAAAAATATTAATTTGTTGATTAAAATCTAATGGTATTCCATTCACCGTTGCAATTATATCATTAAGATCACCGCTTGCTGCAAAAAGCAAATTAATAGGATCCTTGTAATTAGAGCTTGATTCGTTGTCCTTAAGTTCGTTTAAAGATAATTTCAAGATATCAATAGCAGGCATATTACTCCATAAATATTCTACGGGAATAACATAAAAAGGAATGGAAGAGATGCTTGGTAGTATAAATTCGGGTATTCTTAATTCATGAATGTAATCTGGTTTCCAATCCTTTGATGAAATATCAGATTTACATAATTTTTTATGAAATTTCCAATGCTTTTTCTGACATTCTTTACTACAATAAAAGACAAGTCTGCAGTTACTACAAAGGTTGTTGCCAATGTTATCACAAACAAATCGATTAGGAACACAAGTATTTGCACAAGTCACTTGTTTTAATTGTTTGCCATCAATTCCTGATCCAATTTCGATTGTGCCAAAATAACTTGAACGACGTTTAAGAATATGTTCAAGTTGATGTTGCTTTATGAATGAAAATGATTGTGCTATGACAGCGTTCATATGGAATTCTAACATTCGATACTTCTTTTCATGATCATCTTGAGTATCTTGTATTTCGGATAATAAGCCTCCAAAAATTTGATTAAATTTATCTAAATACTCTTCAAATTTTGCTTCTTTTATGTCACGCGGTAAAGTTCCAAGTTTTTCAAGGCACTCGGAAAATTTTTCCCTTTCTGATGTGGCTGACAATTCTTCAAGTAGTTGTGAAAAATCTTTCACTTGGCTAGTGTAAGACATATTTCTTTAAGCTTGAAAAAAATGTTTTTTAAATGTTTTTATTTTAAGGGTATTTAATTTTTGATTAATTTCTTTATTAATGTTGTCAATTTAGGAACTACTCCGAGTGAAAGGGGGAATAGAACAATGAAGAAATAGTAACATATAATGAGCGAAAGTTATTTATTGACAGGTTTAGATGGCTTATGTTAAAGCAAAGATTAATAAATTGATGTTACGCAGTTAATATTTTTGGAGTAGTAATAAGAAAAGCTGTTACTCAAACGGGATAATATAATCAAATTAAAAAAAAATATGTAATAAGATCATGAGCATGATAAATAAAGGGACAAAGTATAAATGATAAAAATAAAATGATGTCATAATTGAAATCATATATAAAGAAAATGATTGAAAACATGTTTATGTCGTCAAACCAATAAAAAAGAGACAGTGGTCAAAAAATTTCATTGTTTAATATTAAACTAGTGATGCGATCCGAAATCAAATATCGATCCTATGCGGATTACAGATATTTTAAGCATCAGGATGATATCTGACATCCATTTTATTAATAAATAGATTAATTCTATAGAAAACGTGCATGTATGAAACGATTAATAACTATATAATAATTATGCCCATCTACACTACAGTTCGCTGGGGTATTCGGTCAATTATGCAATCAAAATTGCGTGCATTACTCTATAATTTTTTGTCTTAAATCGTTATATCTACAAATTATATCCGTGTTTCATTATCTTCTTGCCAATAAAAATTTTCCTTTTTCTATTGAATACAGAATTTTAAGTATTAAAATAAAATGTTATAATATAATTTCATTACAAATATATTCAAGAATTATAATAAGTTGAAAATTTAATTTATATAAAACAAAGGCGATATTATAAAAAAAAAAAAAAAAACAGTTAATTTTTATATGATACCTAACCATGCTGTTTAAATTTCTGATATTCACTTGATTGAATTTATCAACTTAAAAGCCACTTTGCGTAAAATACCTTGTAATAAATGTACCGTTGAATATATGGGGCCTTTGCAATAGAAAGGGCCGATACTGCCCAAAAATGAAAATCGAGTTTTTGTTATATTCGGATAAATTTCGACACGGGCTACATTTTTCAATTATAAATGGAAATCGATTCGCATAATAAAAAATTGAGGTATTTAAAAAAAATTTCTTGGGAGTTTCGTACATCACGGGATTACCCGATACAACTGGCCAATCAAAACACGAAATTTTTGATTAACCCGGATCAGTCCGAACAAAACAAACTCGATTTTTCAAAATAGTATATAACAGATACAGTATTCTTGGAAGTAGAATATATTATTGGTTCAAACAAAATAAAAAAAGTAATCAGTGAATCAAAATCAAACCTGAAATTGATCTAAAATAAATAAATAAAAATAGAAAATAACAAATAAAGAAAATTTACCCAAAATCTGACTTTTAATCTTTTAAGCTAAAAAAAAATAGATTACAAAGAATTGCTCACAACTGAACAAAACATTATCCAAACTTCAAACTATTTTAGAATATCATTAAACTACTACTAAAAGTTGTTATTATTTGGCATTTAATATTTTACTTATAATAGACTTACTCTTACAGCATGATGCAACTTAATTTCTCTGTAGAGGCATTTGCTATTAAGGTATTCTATTAGCAAATTATGTGCTCAATACAGTACTTGTTTTTATTATATGTTTGCTTATAAACAGAATTTTTGATTTTATAGTACTTCTTATATAATACTAATTTCAAAATTTATCATCCTCCAAGAAGTTTATCTTTTGTCAAAAATTTTTATCTTTATTTTTTTTACTGGTATGATTCTATTATTTTTAGCATTATTGTTACAGTATTCTTTTAGCTTTTCAGACTAACCTATCCTTCACTATATACTGTATTTTACCATAGTAATAAATTGGTTCTGTAATATTTAAATTTTTTATATTTAATCACAATAATTTGATACAAATCAACTCAATCTTAATCTTATACTATATATGAGTTAGTTCTGCAATTTTCTTTAATAGAATTTTTATAGCGATTCATAGTATAGTAGAAATCATAATAATTCTATCCCAAACTAACTCAACCTTAACCATACTGTATTACCAAAGCAGAGCATAAGTTTTATACCATAATTTTTTAGTAACTTACAATAGAATTAATATAAACTAATTTAACTTTACCATTAGAGTAGTAACTTATAATAAAGATCATTATCAATCCAATGCAAACCAACTCAACTGCATACTAAATACCAGAATAAAGAATAAGTTTTATAATAGAATTTTTATAGCACTCACAATAGAATTACAATAAATAACCATATACTTTGGTCACCAGAACAGCATAAATTTCTATAATAGATTTTTTTAGTAACTTATAATAGCAATTACAATAATTTCAATCTAAACATAGAATTTTTTTACTATAGCTCACAATAGAAATTAACAGTAATTTAAATGCAAATATGCTATAAATACCAGAATAGAAAATAAGTTTTTTAACAAAATTTTTATAATTCTAATCTGTAAGTTTTATAATCAAATTTTTTTCAGTAACTTATAATAGAATTACAATAGTTTCAATACAAACTAACTTAATTTTAACACACATTGTATATTACTAGAATAGTTTGTAATAGAATTTTTTCATAATTTACAATAGAAATCAACAGTAATTTAAATGCAAACAAACTCAACAATATACTGTAAATAAGGAATAGAGAATAAGCTCTTTAACAGAATTTTTATATTACTTGTGATAAAAATTATAATAATTCTAATCTATATTATCTCAACTGCATACTTTATTATCAAAACAGCATATAAGTTTTATAATAGATTTTTTTTAGTAACTTATAATAGCAATCAGATAGTTCAAATATAAATTAACTCAACTTTAATCACATATTGTATATTGCTGAAATAGTTTGTAATAAGATTTTTACCATAGCATACAATAAAATCAATGATAACTAAAGAATAAGTTTTATAAGAAAATTTTTATAGTAATTCATAATAGAAATCTAAATTGCAATAATTTTAATATAAACAAAGTTTTAATTAAATATACAGCATATATATAATTTAATAATTAATTATTTATATATATAACTTGATATTTTTTTTTATACTATTTATGCAATATTATATTGTATTATCCTGATTCTAACTACCTCAGCACTACAAACTTAGGAACCTGACAGTACAACAATATATATTCATATGTCTATGCATCAACCTGATTTAAAATAAAATTTATACATTTAAATTTGTGTTATATATTTACTATAGCTTAGTTATTTCTTTTTTGGATTCATGTATTTTTTTTTGAATCTATGTACTTTATTTTGATACTATTTTGAATTATTTATTTTTAAATAAAATAAATTTTTTACATGTTCACTTTATGGATTTTTATATAAAAGGCTTGAAAAATTCTTTTATAAACTTTATAATTTGAATAATATACTTTTGTATTAAAAAAAATATCAAATATTTTTAAAATTATAGTGCCAAAAGAATTTAAGCACTTTTAACTTGAAATTCTACCTGTATTCTACCTGTATATTAAAGAAACTAGAAGAAATTTTTTTAAAAAAAAATTTTAAAAGATGAGTATATATTTATACAATTTTAATAGTTATGAAATTTTGATATATAAATATTCTATAATACTAATAAAATAAATTTATATTTTTTATTTTATAAAATAAAATAAAAAAAACATATCTGAGTTGAAAGTGTTTAAATTGATATTAATAAAAATATTTAAAGAACTCTTTATATAAAAACAAAGTTAAAATCAAATCATCACTTAAATAGCATGTCATAAATACAAGTTACTCTTTTATAATAAATAAATTGGAAAATAGGTTTTTTTTATAAAATACAGTACTTTATTGTGAACCTTTTAATATGGTGAATTTACTAAATACTCTCAAAATAAAAAAGAAAATCTCCTAGCCAAAATATTTAATTATAAATAAATTAACTTATATTGAGAGTCATATTATAGTAAGTAAATTTACTATAATAAAAAATTCACTATAATGAGAGTATTATAAGAGGTTCACTACAATGAGAATATTATAAGAGGTTTACTACAATGAGAGTATTATAAGAGATTCACTATAATGAGAATATATTATTATAAATTTTTTTTATATGTGAGAAATACAAAGCAATTTCTGTCAAGAAAATACCTCTAGGCATTTAACAATAAAACAACAAATGAGTCTTTCAACACATTAATTAGAAAATTTTAATGATCATGATCTTGAAAATCTTCTACCACATTCTCACTTTTCTTGAGATTTTTTTGAGAATACTTTCAACAAGCAAAAAGTAAAAAAATCAGCATACCCTCCAAAAGATCTGCATTGTTTACATGCTCCAGGCCCTAGTCAGGGAACTTCTAATTACAGCAGCAGATAGTTTAAGATAGGATCCTTAGATGGCAGCAACACCTAGCTCGAGATACAAATTAGAAGGTAAACAAAGTCACAAAGAATCACGAATAGCCAACATGTAGAACAATGACTAGCATTAATGCGAAGTAGAGGGCTTATTTCTAGAAAATCCTCACAGTGCTAACCTACCACGATGATTTTATATATAATGCAGACTAAATTTAGAGTAGGACTAAATTGAAGAGTATTATATAATTTTTTAGACCTTTTCTAGGCTATACCAAAGGTCCAGTCAAGTTTGTTGAACCTCATCATTAGTTGAAACAATGAAAAAGCCCTGGAACCTATACTGTATCCTTTTTCTAAATTACACGGGTCAATATGGTATGGGTTATAAAATACCCTACTTTAAAATCAATACATACTAATCTGGTGTTGTTTGTTATACATTATCATGATTAGGGTTAGTATTGTAGCGGATGGTTTTTTTAAAATAGGTAACTTTAATTAACGTAATCTGTTTTTGAACTCACGAAATGAGAAGAGACAAAAATACGCTACGCTTACAGA